CATATACATATACACACACACACACATATATATATATATATATATATATACTGATTTAAGCTTCTGCTTTAAAATTGAGCCAACTGCACACTTGCACACCTCTTTTTTAAGTTCTTGCTCAGTCTCCTCGAAGTTCTCGATTTTGGTTTGCAACTTCTCATTTTCCTCTTCGGCGTTCTGTTTGTGTTCCGTAAACACTGCAATTTCGGCAATCAGTGCCGCCTTCTCTATGGCCAGTCTCGCAGCATCGTCAAGCTTTTCATTCGCCTGTGGTGCAGTGTGTATGTGCATGCATGACATATGAATTGTACGCAAAACTGCTTCGTGATGTAAACACGCACACACACACACACCCGGAGACACACACACACACACACACACACACACATATATATATATATTTATATAATCTTACCTCGCGAAGGTCTTGTTCAAGGTCCTCGATGCGATCGTCTCTGTCGTCTAGATCGCGTTTTAGATCGTCCAGCTCCCTGTCAGTGATAACAGTTAGACGTGTCACATGCAGAGCATATCTTGAAAACTAGGTGGTACATGTGAAAGTGATATCAGACTACTCTGCGCAAAGCTGTATCCAATCCTAAACCCCTAAAATCCTAAAACCTCTTGTGTATCCAATCCTAAATTCCTAAAACCCTGCAGAAGGTGAGTGTACATGCAGTGCTAGCAGCCAGAACACGTATTGAGCATACACATACCATCTACCATTCCGAGCCATCCTCGATAATACCGGCGTGCGTACGTCTGCTCACACCTCCATTCATACACCCAGAAGCACACCCCCCCCACACACTCACACTCATACCCCGCCCCCCTCCACACACACCAACAAACGTACCTCAGAAAATCCTCATGCGCATCTGCGTCTTCTTCCAGTTTCTCTATGTCATTCTTCAGATCAACATTGGCTTCAAGCGCTTCCTTGATTTCCATTTCTTTGCGCGAGAGGATCACCTGCGCGTCTTCAAATCGGGTGTTCAAATCCTGATAGTCCGCCTGAGTTTCCTGATTTTTGATCACTGCGTGCAGACAAGCAATACAGTATAATTAATATAATTTAAGTTACTAGTCTATCACCCATGAACTCGTATTCATACACTGTAAGACGTGGTACAACGATTTTCTGACGTGGTACAACGAATCGCCCCTATGCATATACCGCTATACTACTTCTACAGCCAAACCCTAATCTCGAGCTTGACCCAGGCCACCGATCCGACCCAACACATACCCAAGGCTTGTATACGCTTCCTCTCCCGATCCGAGATATCCTGCTCGGTCTTCAAATCTATTTTTAGCTCGGCATACTTGTGGCGCATCTCGGCCAACTCCTCCTGCATATCCGCCACCTCATCGGTCAGGTCAGCGATTTCCGAGTCCTTATTGCCCAGCAACGCATCCAGGCTTTCGGACAAGTCCCTGGTACCCATGGGCAGGTGATTGTTGATACCTGATCTGTGTTGTACACCCCGGTCTCTGGCGTCTGGGGGGTTGACTGGACTGTCCTGGACCTTGTCTCTGCTCTGGCGGGTAGGGGTGTTGGAGTTTTTTCCTGGGGAAGAAAGGGGGGAGTCGCTCGGTAACGGGACGCCTTCCTCATTCACCTGCACACAGGATGATCGAATATGCATGAGTACACACTCACACTCACACACACACACACAGATACATACATACATACACACACACACACACACACACATATA